GGTCCCGGGTTATCACTTCACCATACAGACACAAACTTAATTTCATATTCGTCTTTGTGTTCTATTCCATATCTTATTACTATTTTAACATTTTCTCAATAATTTTTCCCTTCCCTTAGTTTTCTCAATCTTACTTTTAATTATCTCATTCCTTTCTAAATTCAATTGTATATATCTTTTTCTAAGTTTCAATGCCTTTCTAGTCATCATATTTATACTTTTGTCTGTCCTGTTTCAATTTCATTTGGTTTGAGCTTCTTCGGTGACAGACCGAAATCTGCGATTGTGTGCAGTTTCAATCTGTGCTCGCCACTGGATCACCCCGAGCTGGCTGGTTTGGGGGCTAAGCCACCCTGTAGAGATGGTGAAGAGAGGGGAGACTGCCAGCAGGGTTGATGAGAGCCGCATCTCTCCTCCCCAGCAGGCCATTACTCTCTTTCCCGAAGGCAGTTGCAGCAGTGGTCAGAAATGGCTACCTCAAAGAAGAACTTGACTGGAGAAAAATGTGCAGGAGGAAGATAAGAAGAGAAAGTTTTTGGCTGACCAGGTCAAACTGGAAAAACAACAATACAAGGTACTCTGGAATTTGAATTATAAAAAACAACATTGTTCCCAAAGAAGACTTTGAAGCTGCGAATGAGAGAGGGAAGGGAAAGGATTTGGTTTTTTTTTCTTTTCTTCCCTATATTGACAACTAAGAGATTTAAGCAAGAAATCGGCAAAAATCCACTTTGAGAGTAACAGGTATTTAAGCTGAAATAAAATGTCAAAGGGATTATAAAGATTTCTGGATTCTCAAAAACTTTTAAAAGAAGGAAAAAACAAAAGGGTGGGATCTGGAAAAAGGGAGGAGAGCACCTGGATGTGAAAGGAATTAACAGTGAAACTTTAACAAGATTCCTAAAAGATACATTTTAACTGAAACTTTGTAACAAGATAAGAGAACCCCAGGAAGAGAAAGTGGAAAAAAGAAGCAAGAAGAAACAGCTTTGGATTATTTGGATTACTTGGTGATTTTTGGATTTTTGGCTATTGGATCTAAAGGACTAAAATTAATCGGGTGGTTGTTTAAAAGTTTTTAAAATGGTATCACTCTTGGAAGAACTGAGAACGGAACTTAAAAAACAGAAAGAAGATGCACAAGAAGGAAGAGGTTCTTTTGGCTTCATATTTCAATTTGTAGAAATGGAGATCCTGAACTATGAGAAACAACAAGAAATGTCTGTAGAACAAGAAGGGTGGGACAAAGAAGAAGTCATCTTCAATGACCAAGTATTTCTATGTGGGGAAAAGAAAGGAAAGCGGGGAAGAGAGTGAAAAATTTAAGATCTGAAAACACAACCCCAAAAAAGAATAGTTTGAAAAGTAATTATAACATTAGGAAGAAACAGAAGAGAGGACTACAGAAGAGAGAATCAGAATTAGAGAGAGAAGGGGTCAAAAAGGGAAGGGAGAAGAAGAGGGAGAAGAGGGAAAGGAAAAGAAATTATAAAGGACAGAACCAGGACATAGAGAAACAGGGAAAACATACAAGACACAGAGATAATGGGTGAAAAATTAATTGCAAGGGAGATTCTGCAAGGGTACATAAGATAGTATTGTTATATTAGAAATAGAAATGAACTTTGAAAATATGAAACAAGTGTGATTAAAATGATAGATAAAATACTCATTGCAATGTAATGGAATGTTTAATAAATAAATGAAATAAAAGAGAATGAGAGAATGAAATTAGGAAAGGAAAGGAAAATTTTAATTATTATAAATGTGTTGTAAAAATTTAAGTGAAGAGGAATATGAAAGAAACATGAAAAATTATGGAAATATTATAAGTGTTCCTAGAAGTATGATATCCTATTGAAAAGGAATGTTAAAGATGTCAAAGATTATAACTAACATTAATGATAGAGCTGAAATGGAATAGAATAAGTATTTTATTTATTATTGTTATAGATATATTTTCTCTTTAAGAACTTAGTGCGTATTTTAAGAATGTACCAAGCAGAATTCGACTGGAAGTTATGTATTATATTGAATGTTATAATTGTAAAGGCATAAATTGAAGTTTAAATAAGAGTTGAATGGATAAAAATTAAAAGATACAAAGGTGTCATACTCCAATTAGTAACTACAGGGGAAAATTTTGTTTGATGAAGTCCACAAGTCTTAAAGCTGCCAAGTTTGAAGACCCCTGTTGCAGAGCAATTGACAATCTGACATTTTATTCTCTCTGCTTTATGATTGATCTGTTGTATTTATGATGAAGCTGAATTTATTTGGTGAGAAGGGACATTATTTTTGCCCAAGTTTATTTAAGGCATAAATAATACTTTAAAATCTCATTGCCACTAGCCCAAAAATGTCATTTTCCTTAGATGGCAGAGGAGGTTATAAATCGTCTCTCACTTTCTCAGAAATTTAATTGATACTGAACAATTTGAGACAAATACTGTTATGATCAGATCAAACAGTAAATGGTTTCTCCTTAAAGAATTCCATCAACAAAACTCCTCCATACTCATTTACAGAATTTTTTTTTAGCTTTTTAGACAGAGTACTAGTTTCTTTCTTTTTTCCCCTTTAAAAAAATATTTATTTGCTTTTTTCCTCCTTCCTTTCCCTACTTTTTACATTATCTCTCAAGCTGCCCATGTTCCTAATCCTCCCTCTTTTCTACTCTTCAGGGTCTTCTACTGTTTCTTTGAAGGTAAGGCCCAGTTAATCCTGCAACCACTTCAGTAAGATGCAAAATATCTAATGGATTTTCCTCACAGTAGCAGCCATTTTGAGCAAATATAAAACACTACCCACCTCTCTTTCTAACATTAATCCTTCCGCTCGTAAATTCTTTTCAAAGGTGCTTCTTTTTTCAATTTGAGGACTGGACTTTTTGTAGACTAGAATGTAATCAATACGTTTTTTGCCATCTTTGAAGAATAGACCCGATGTTGCCAATGCAGACATGTCACTCTGAAAGAAAAAAGGGATGTATAATGGACTCTTAAACATAGGAACACAGTCCAGGCAATGATGAAAAACATGGAATGTATTTTTAGGCACATCAGTTTCTTTTTATCTCTAAGAAGTATATCCAAGACAGAAGAGAAACCTAGAAGAAAGTATTTATTGCTCATTCTCAAATCTTTTTAAACAAATTGTTCCCAAATTTAGATAAAGGTAATCGGGATATTGGTGACATTCAGTCCTGTAAATCTATGTGATGCCTCCCTTATCAGGGGGAAGATATGGGGCTCAATAAGTAGGTTGACAGTACAAAGTGAGTCACACAGGATTTTTTTTTTTTTTGCAAGAATTTTGAGAACTTTTGTTGCTTTGCTTAATTATTTTGATTTATAACCCATGTGTCTCATAAAGGATCAGTACTAATATAGGATAACTCCTCTAATGTTATCCCATAATACATCTTAATAGGTTGGACTAAAGACCAGTGACTAAGGATCAGTGATTCCACGATGAAGCAGAGATTTAAAACCCCAGACTCCCTAATGGAGGTTTAACCAATACATCTCTTTTTAAATATGTTAAGCATAAACTTATTAAAGTAGCTTTACTATCAAAAGCCAAAATATCAAGCATACAATCCAAAATAGCTGGGTGAAAACAAGTGGAAGAAATTGGAAATTAAAGAATTATTCAGATTAGAATTGTTTCATTAAAAATGAAATCACTATGTTAAGTCTATTTTCTGACTATATGTTATTATTTTAATCTTTCCTGCCTCAAAACAGCGCAGCTAATGTTGTTCAGTTTTGGAAAAGGCAGCATGGACTGTTATCTAGACATCAATGGCAACATTTTGAATTCTAATCCATCCTTCCCTGCAGTCCCCATGGCCTTGAAGCTGCTTAGCTTTGGCGTTATCTGCCTTTCCTCAGAAACAAGGGCAACTGTGATGCACATTAAAGAAAAATTAAGTCTTCAATCACATAGCTGTGGTTGCCCTCTGACTTTTATGACCCTCCCTGTGGATATCGCTGCTCAGAAACCAGTGCAAGCTATTTCACAGAGACAATCTCCATGAATATTTTTTAAACATGTTGTCCTCTCCTTTCCTAAACATTAAATCCTACCCTTGAGAAACACCTTTCATGGCTTTGAGGCCTAGGTTGACAATGACTTCCACTTTTGCTGTGGCTCAGAAAATAGGAAACAAAACAAAACAATTCATGAAATGACGAGACACAAGAAAGTCATCAAAATTCTGAACTCAAATGCTGCAGGTTGCATTTATTTCCATTTCAGAAGTATTTATAGCCTTTGGGTGACATTTGCAGTAATAACTATACTCCTATATGGATACATTAAATATATAAGAAAAGAAGAGGGACAAGCAAGAAAATAGATTTGGTATCTATCCAGGTGCAACTGCTTCTGATTTATCGACTCTAATACATTATTTTGTCCATTATGAATAGAATATCTGGGAGCAACAACAGTATAATATCTATTAATAAATAGTAACATCAGATCCTACTAATAGAGGAGAAATAGGTTCAGCATTTCTCTCTTTTGTTTCTAGTCTTATACTTCAGATGAACCTGATTCAGAATGACAGAAAAGTGCAATATTCTTGGTAAGTGGAAATCATGAGCAAATACTATGTTGCACATACCATAATTCTGTTATCAGTAAAGTTTATGTTTAACAGTATGGAGGAAATGTGGGAAGAATATAATTAGCTCTATAAATATTATACACCATCCCTGAGCTCTCTTTTCGAGCAGAAAATGTAAACCTACAACAGGATAAGTGATTTGCTTTTGTTGAGATTCCAGCTAGTCAAGTTATAATTAACTTTCAGGTTATTTACTTATTTACTTGATAAATATCCCATTCTCTATTTTCCCTTCATTGGGGATCCATCTCCTGTCCTTATACTCAGTCAGAAATCTATGACCACCATTTACACACAATCCTTGCTGAATTGTTCTGTATCACCCCAATGTAAATTTGTTTCTCCTGATTTTGAGCTTTTCTAAAGGATATGTATGGGACAAGTTGAGAGAGAGATAGCATAATTCTAATCCCCAAACTTGGGAATTCTATAAATCTTCAATATTTCCTTCTTGGTGCTTCTTCACCTCATTAGAACCCACACAATGAACCAGGTCATTATTAGTCTTTGGCAGCTTGTCCTATTCTTGTTCTCTCCAGACACTTTGAACTACAGTTCCTAGAAGTTCAGACCTGGAAGATGAAAGTATGTCCTTGAAGTTTGAATTAATGAATATTCTACAACCAGTCTGCAGTTCCACTATTACTTTATATGTGTTCTGAACAAACAACAGAGAATCAAAGGCAATAGACTCATGATTTAAAGATGCATTAATTCAGATGGTATCACCTGTCCGACCTTCTAGGAGATTAAAAAAAATATTGTTTGTTGGGTTTGGTTAGGACTTAGGCAGGTTATTACCAGGAAATACCAGGACTATAGCTAAACTGGGAAATCAAAGGCCTGGCAAATGTATATACTGCTGCCCCAAAAGCTGCATATATATCTCTATGATGTACCCAGAATTCTAGCTTCACTCAGCAACTTTACTTTTTTAATGGTCACTTTTAAAATATGGAATTAAAACTGCCTCATGAGAACCAATGTCCCTTTTATAGAATGGATCACAGTTCTATATAAATAAGTTCAAGACATCAAGCTTTATTTCTGACTGTGTTGTCACCGACAGGCCAAAGGAAGATGTATTGCATAATAGTTCCTTTGCTGGCTGGCACTCTATCAAGCTCATTGTAGCCATTTGTTATCCTGGTGTTTTCCTATTTCTTTGGTGAAAGGCAAAGAACTATCTTCATAAAAGTTATCTCTTCTATTCTCCACTTTTCTACCAGTCAGCTTGAAATAAAAGAACGTGCTGCTCAGCTTGTTCTTCTGTAATATTTGCAGTCATTTATTCATCACCTTAACTGACCTCCCAAGATAAGACAAGAAAATAAGATTGGAAAAAATCAAATGCAAACAGTTTAATCTATATATTGAGCCTGTTGCAGTTCATTCATATCATGATATTAATCAGGAGTGGGCAATTTTTTTGGAAGCCAAAGGCCAGACATTTTTTAGGTGGGTAACTGGATGGATAAGATTCATCAAGAGAAACAGTACTGCAAACTTTATGGGGTCTTGACACACACCTTGCTTTTTCTTCCTCTTACATTTTTCAGGTAGATGAAGTCTATTTTAGCATATCTTTGAACATCGTGTCACTTGGGGGAAATCATAATTTGGAAGAGAAGCTATGGGAAAACAGTGTTTAATTTTATTAGGAAATGTTTTTGGCTCTTGTAAATAATTGTAGACATTTTCCTGACAAAAGCAATCATCAGTAGCAACCCATCTGCAACATTTCAACCAGCATGACAACTGCCTGTCTGACCATGAGATAACTGCTGAAGTGCTTGTCTCTTCAAAAGGTAAGACTGGTTGACCATTCCCATCCTATTGACTGAAGAAATATAATAATAATAATAAAAATGAAATGATGCAATTTCTGGACTCTTGACTTTGCCAAGAGAAATCACAGTACCAAGCGATGTGCAGCCAAATTGTTTACAGGGAACTTACTAGGATACAATAAGTGCTTGTGGGTATGAGTCAAGTATACTAAAACAACAGGTGTTCTGCCACCTTGAAGGGAAAAGAGTAATGGCAAGAAAATAATTAGCAAACAAATTAATTTAATAAGGGTTTAGATAATTCTCCCTTCCAATAATAAGGGACTTTCATGCATTTCTTTCAGCATATTTCTTGCAGAGCAGAATTACACACCAGCAATAGGTGCCATAACCCATCACTCAAGCAAGCTGGCATGAAATTCTGTTGAATTGGAGATCAGCTTGGAGAGGTTAGTCAGACATGAAGTAAGCCTAGAAAATAGAAAAAGCTTGAAAAAGAAACTCAGATTGACTTCTCCCTGAACCATTAGAGCAGTGTTTGTTATCCTTAGCAACTTTAAGATGTGTGAACTTCAACTCCTAGAATTCCCCAGCCATTATGGCTGGTTGGAGAATTCTGGGAACTGAAATCCACACATCTTAAATTTGCCAAGGTTATGCATTAGAATAGGAGAGAGAGAGGGAGGAAAAAAACCTCAACTTGTTATTACTGTAGTCTCTCTCAATAGTTCCAGACTGATTTTAGTTCTAGGGACAAGGGTTCCCTTGAAGGACTGACACATTCTGGGGAAGGTTTGTTTCCTCTCTGGATGGAGGAGGAACAGAGATCAACTCCTAGTCTTATCCTTGCAGTGAATCCGTCTCTAGCAGTATTGATACGGATAACTGAGGATCTCAATATCACTGAAATAAATTACTTAAGACATCCTTACCTCTTACCCCACTCATGCTAGCTGCCCTGCTTACCCCACAAAGAGAACATCAGCTCTGGGTATAGACCCAAAAGGCTGAAAGGAGGAGGAGTTTACTTTTCCCAATATGTTGTGCAAATAGCACTGCTTATTAGCAGCATATCCACTTGATATGTCAATCATTTGCAATTAGATCTGTTGGGTACTGGCTGTGAATTAACAGAGGCTGAGACCATGTTTACTAATGGCTTTACCCAAAGGGATTCAATGATGAAAGAATCCATTTTCATGTACATCAGACCTTGTCACATTTGATCTTGAATGTCCTGTTTTGCTAGGTGTATCTTTCTACGTTGTTCTTCCAATCCTGGCTGGCATGTGGGGTTTGTTTCTTGGAATTTTAATCCTCTGCTTCATCCTGACCATATCTTTGCCTTGCCCTTTGAATCAAGCTTTGACTCTTTTGGCTTAGACTAAATCAAGTTAACACTCTTGTAAATAATCAGAGATTTAAGGCTTCCTGAAAGTTGGCAGATCAGGGCAGTGGATCCTGCAATGAAATGCCATTCAGTTATTTTATTTTATTTTGCCTCTTTTGGGATCCCATTAGTTTGTTTGGTTTTATCTACATTT